ATCTTCAAATAATGTTGCCTTTTTTTTCATGGCCATTTTTTAAAATTGCAAGTCTGTGGGAGGAGGAGGCCTGGGCCTATCTACAGCACACTGTAAGAAAGCATTACATACTGGATGGCAGTGGCATGCTAGACATGAAAAATACTAATAAATAAACTCACTACACAGCTTGGAAAACAAGAAAAGTATTACTTTGTTCAGCTCTTTCCATAGGAAGGTTACAATTTACAAAAAAGTGGCCATAGAAGATCAGAAATCTCCAATCTTAGTTAATAGAAAGCAGGTGCATTAGAGGTATGCGGCCAGACATCATCTCTTTCACAAGGCTGTTAGTATTTTAATCAGCCAATAATAGAAGCCAGGCTCCTCTGGTCTGACTATTAAAAGCCTCACCCGAGGAGCAGGAAAACCAAGATTTGCCTTTTGGTAGCATTACTGGGCCTGTGTAATGAACAAGTCAAGATTTCCATGCCCATTTTGAAGTCTGAAGAAAATGTCCAGCCTATCTTCTTGAAAACGTATCTGACTGGCAAAAGTGAGATGTGTTTAGAATCTATCACTTCTCAGGAAAACAAATCTAAATTAGGTTTTTCACAATTACACCAAGAATTTTGCTTTTTTGCTTTTGTGAGTGACTATTAACAATCAGCAAAAATTAAGCCACCTTCAGATATACTAGTAACTTCCTAAATAAGCAGGATACCAGAACAGCGTGAGAAGAAGTTGTTATTAAAGAGATTCCACAGAGCCAGCTCTGTGGATAAAGCTTCTGGTTGTGTCATCAACACCCTTTATAGTGCTGGTTCAAGTTCCAGTAGCCCAACTTCCAATACAGCTCCATGAGGGCGCACCTGGGGAAAACAATGCACCATGACCCAAATCCTTGGGTTCCTGCACCCACACAGGAGAAGTGGAGGAAGTTCCTGGTTCCTGGCTTTGGACCAGCTAAGCTCCAGTTGTTGCAGCCATTGGGGAATGGACCAACGCATGAAACGCCTTTCTGTCTTCCCTGCAGTTCCCCTCCATTCTGCCTTTCAAGTAAATAAATTCTTTCAAAAATAAAAAAATAGAGATTTCAAGATCCCATTCTGCATGTATCTACTCTTCAGGAAGAATCTTTGGACTGCATTTTTGTAAGCACCCTGGGTAATTGTTATGTTCAGGCAAAGATCAAGAAAAGCTGTATCAAGTGTTACTAATATAATTTTAGCTTTGTAGATATAGAAAACTGAGACTTTCCATTATTTAGCTAAAGTTACTGTACGTGGCTGCTGGTTCAAAATCACCCCAGAAATGCTCAATTCTAGCATTAAGAAAAAGCAAATACATGGTAACATGGTAAAAGATGAAGTGAAAGACCAAAGTCTTTTATTGACCAGTAGCTTCCCAGACTTCAATGTAATTTGTTAACCTACTTGTGATTCTGTTCTTTTACCCAAGTTAAAACTGACACAAGATAGTGACAACTATTTTGGACAGAAGCACATTGTCTAATTCCTTGGGAAAAGAAGCAAGCACCCCTGCCTCCAGTAATTAGGTAGGTGATCCCAAACAGGGTAGCCTGTGAATCCAGGCTGAGATGGTGAGTGATTAAAGCGAACTCCTAACAATGTTTAGAGACTGGTCTCTCGCTTTGCTGCAAGCGAGAGAGGGATCCAGATTAACCATTAGAACACTCTATAAGGGAAACCACAAGAATGACCATCTGACTGTTACTATTAAAGTCCTGAAACTATATATGGGCAATCAAAATCAAGCATTTTGTTGTGACACTTCAAGCACATTCCAATTCACAAGACAAGCTCCCATTATGACCACTGCATCAAGACTTAAGGTAGAGTAAATTTTATTATCCACATTTCTGTAGTCAAATTCAGGCAAAAATTATCTTGAAACAGCCAATCAAATGGATTCCTAAGGTCATAGGAAGCTGATTAACAGTGGCGACTATACCCTAAAATATCCAAAAATTACACCAAATTCATGGCCCAATATGCACAATAACCACCTCTATATACTCTACAGAAGAACTGTCACAAACACATGTACCAAGAGGCTAGATGCTAATAATATTATTTAAAATGTCATTTTAAGCACATTACAAGAGCAAATATCAAAATGAGTGAACTAGAGCCATAGTCAACACTGACAAAATACTGAACTAAAAATAAGATTCAAAACTTACTACCTTCAATGTTATACCAATTCTAAAGCTTGACTATTTATAGATACATAACAAATGTAATAAAACTATGTAAAGAAATGCATAGGAATAGCAAATATTAAATAACAAATTGAGGACAGTGTTGGGGTGGGGAGAGGAAAAATGGAATAAAGTTTAACCACAAGTGTTTCTCATCTCCTATATTTCCCATGTTTTATTTCCTCAGATGAATGGTGGCTGGTGCCTGTGTGCTGACAATTACAGTTGGCCCCCTTACTCATGGGTCTATATTGTGGATTCAACTGATTATGATTTGGAAATATTTTTTTAAAAACTTACACCTGTATTTTAAATATGGACAAAACATTAAGACTTTTCTTGCCATTACTGTTTTAAACACAGCATAACAACTAACGGCACTGCACTTACATGTTTTAGGCCTTATGAATCATCAATGGATGATTTAAAGTACACAAGAGGACTGGTATAGATGACAGGCAAACATTATGCCATTTTTAAAAAGGGGTTTGAGCATCTACAGAGCTTTGTAGCCCAAGTGGGACTGTGCCCCTTAGAAATGAGGAATTCTTGGGCCTAATGTTGTGTTCCAGCAGCTAAAATCTCACCTTGCACACACCAGGAACCCATTTGGGTGCCAGTTCGTGTCCCAGCTGCTCCATTTCCCATCCAGCTCCCTGCTTGTGGTCTGGGAAAGCAGTCGAGGACGGCCCAAAGCCTTGGGACCCTGCACCTGCATAGGAGACCTAGAGGAAGCTCCTGGCTCCTGGCTTCAGGTTGACAGCTCTGGCCATTGTGGCTATTTGGAGAGTGAACCACCAGATGGAAGATCTTTGTCTCTGCCTCTCCTTCTTTCTATAAACTTGCCTTTCTAAGAAAAAATAAATAAATATTTCAAAAAAAGAAAACTGAGGAATTCTTATACCTAAATTTGAATATGCAAATGTTATCTCCAATGCTGGTAACTCAAATGATATCTTAAGATCTCAAGCACTGCACCATTTGACTGACTCATTTGAAATAGTCTACTGTATATCAAAAGAATCAAACAATTCAATTTGGTTCAACCTAATATCAAGAATTCTCTACATGAATAAGGCATTGGTACTAATTCCATTTAAAAAAATTATAATGTGCTCTGATTATGTGACTAGATTAAAGGAAAAGAAACAGATCACTTAACTGACAGCAGATGAAAAACAAAGATAAACCACATATACAGAACGAATTACATAGCTTAGAAACATATAAACACTTCTCTTTGCTATCATTGCTTATTACTTTCAAAGCCCTTATGGTAGTATTAGTAAATCCTTAACAGATCTTTGCAGGGCAAAACAAGGATTTGCATATAAACACTGAAGAAACGACTAGTCTGAAGTCGAACAGGCAGTAAGCAATCAAAATTACAGCCCTAAAGTCAGGTCCTGTTCTGAAATCAGTCACCATGAATCTATTAGAAGGTCAACAAAAAAGTGGGGTTTTTTGGTTGTTTTGTTTGGTTTTAGTGCTAAACAAAATTTACAAAAGGAAGAATTCAGGGCAATAATATTATAATCAGTGAAGGTCTGTCTCAACTTCTAAATTAGAACAATCTGTAATAAAAACCACATTTTCTAGAGAGCACGGAAAGAATCACTATGCTCCTAAATATGTACTGTGGAATACATGAAATGTATTCATCTCATATAAACACAAAGAATTTTCCATAAAAATATTCTGGGTAGTCACTAAATTACAAGACTTTATCATAAAATCAATACATTTGTAACTAGAAAACTATAATCCAACAATTTTACCATATAAAATATATACTACATAAACACGCTGTCTCAATCCACCCCTTTTTGTTGTTGTAAGTATTGGTATTTTTCTTAAAACATTTAAATTAGAAGGAATGGAGCAGGCATTTGGCCTAGCAATTAGGATGTCCTCAGCAGCTTCCTGCTAACGCTGACCCTGGGAAGCAACAGCCACAGTTTAAGTGACCGGGTTCGTGCCAGCCTCAGAGGGACCTGAGACGACACCGCAGCCCCTCATTTCAGGCGAGATCCAGTCCCAGCCAGCGCCAAGCACTGGGACAGTGAACAACAGATGGGAGCATTTCATCTATCTTTCCTCTCTGCCTTCTCAAATGAATAAAAATTTGAAAGTGAATAAACTAGAATGTTGGAAGAGTTTTGCGGAAGATACTAAAGGAGACCTTGAGGTATTATGAAGGGTTTTCAAAGGTAACAGCAGGTTTCCTAGGCTTTTTAAGGAATAAGTGAAATTATTAACAATTATAGAGCCAAGACACATAAAGCAAGAAAGAGAAAGGGATCTTTTCCCCAGAACAAGAAACTGAAATAAAAGGGTTAAAGGACAAATGAGAACCACTGAAGCGTAATTGATGGAAACACTCCACACCAAAAAGCAGAAGAAACAGTACTGCAGAGAGACAGTGCCACAAGGAGAGTCACAGTTCCTTACCAAGGCTGTGAGGGTGCTTATCTAGGATCAATGAGGAAAACAGAGAGCTGCCCTTCTCTGCCCCCCTCCCAAAAGCAGGCATCTGAGTAGTTTTTGCATATTGGGCACTTTTAACCCAAGAAATCTTACTCCTGAAATCTACAGATGCCTACAATTAACATCATATTTTTGCTTCCTTCTGATGAGGAAAAATAAATGACATGCTACCCAAATCTTTTCAGTTACATGGCAGCTAGGAGAGTCAGAATCATTTGGTGCCCTCTAGGATGCCCTGCTCAAATCAGCTGCCAGGATACATGCACATCACATCATCAGAGAAGGGGGTGGGAATGAGGGGGGCACCAACCTGCCTCTGCATTCAGCTCTTCTAGAAGCCCGCTGGTCCTCCAGGTAGCTCCTGTGTCCTGGCCGCCTACAGAATTAGTGTGCTCTTGAACTACTGCAGCCGCCAATAAATTGTCCACATTTACCACTTCTGGGTCAGAGCTGGTGTCAGATATATCATAATGAGCTACAACTGGAGGTCCATCTAGGGAGGAAAGAAAATGTACACTGGTATCTAACTTGTGGGGTGAAAAAATACTCTGAAAGTAAAAAAGAGCCTTCTAAATGCCAGTCGCCCTTTACCTTAGCGTCTTTTCTGATCAGAGAAAGCTACCCATCAGTATTTTGTACATGATGTATGAAAGTGGGAAAGATAACCCAAGTTTACAGAGATGAGAGACACATTTTGGAAGGAGGAAAGTAGGGCTATGAGAAACAGGAGACAAGACTTTACTGAACAGTGTTACAACAAATTCCTCTCACACTCCTAAGGAATTACAGTGTTAAGAAAAAGGAGAGGAGCCCCCAAAGTGAAACTGCCCCTCTTTTTTTAAAGGAAAATAAAAACTGATGCAAACATCAAAACTCAACCTACATTTTTAAGGGAATGAATCTAGTTCTTTCTCTGGATACCTAACACTGAAAGTCCTAATAGATTAAGAAGAAAGTGAAACATACAAGTACTTCCCTTCTTACTGAAGGAAAAAGTTAATATCTGAACTCCATTTGACTGACATCTATTGGTAGTAAAGCCCTTTCACACTAACAGAAATATCCTACCCTTTACATTATTTTCAAAAACCATTTTCACGATTTTATTTTAGATGTCTTGTAAAGGATATTTGTATTTTCTTGTCCCAGAGAGAGAACCAGCTCACACTCCAAGTAAATGATATGCAATCTTATGGGTGATTTTAGGGAAAGCTATCAAAGTTCTCGCTGGAAAAGTGAGAGACCCCAAATCATACAAGTAGCTGAAAACCACAGCTGAGTTCCAAAGCAATTACTGCAGCACTGCATGCTAAAGTAACTCAGTATTCATGCTTATAGAAAAGACACATGCTTTAAAACGCTAAATACTACCTTTTTCTAATGTATCAACCACAGAGCAAAAATTAAGTAAGAAATTCCTCAACTGTTCATGGTGCTGTAATTTGTTGTTGATGTTTTGTTGTGGTGGTAGCTGTTCTAACTCATACCAGTTGTTGACCTGGGTTCATAGCTTCTCAATTATGAAACGTATACTGATGGAGTACTGGGGTCTATCATATACAGATGTGGGGGAACAATGGAACATGCATCCCTACTTTCAGACAAAAGATAGATTGCCAATGAAACTGTTGGACATGTGTAGACAATGGGATGCTGGACTGTTTGACATTGTCTGTACCAACAATGTCGGGTACACTTAAATAAGAGACTGATAGAATTATGATTCCATATGAAGAACTACACCATTGTAGTGTAATGGGGAAATTTTGTCAGGGGTGGGAGTTTGGAGGGAATCCCAGTCTATACGAAATTGTACCACATAATTCAAAATTCAAAATAAAAAAAAGTATATATATATAAAAAAGTGTATATATATATATATATATATATATATATAAAATCCCTCAACTCTCCCCATTTTAGAACAAAGCAGAAATAAAGAAAAACTGCTTCTCTCAAGAATGTTTGTGAAGTGCAAGTAAAGTTATTTCCATAAGGATTTTTAACATCATCCAATAAATGAATAAACATACCTATTTTATAAAACTTCAGTATGATGGAATACATATGCCAATGAATCATAAAAATAGAATATAATGAAGGAGTGCTGTATTAATGCAAACATTCATTGTGTGAAATACTCAGTGGACAAAACATGGAACACACTTGGGATAGTAAGCCTTTAAAACTAAGCTCCCAAGACATAGGCTTATGTAGCAACATTTAAAAATGACCAAACACAAAAGCAAATGAGTAGTTAGGTGCCACTGTATAAAGGACAGGTCACAATACTAAATTCTGACAATCGTGACAATTTTAGATACTTAAAACTAATTTCCAGCTGAGGCAAGTGTTCAACAGTGTAACTAGTATCAGCTGGTAATGAATTTTAGTTTAAATAGCAAAATACTGGTTATGCTCGGGATTTTTCTTTTCTGAAAAGAAAAGAAAGCTGACACATTCTATTAAGTTTTCATCAGAGTTCAAAGTGATTATTACGGGACCAAGATACTGTGTGATAATTAAATACTTGGGTGCAGAAGATATGAGGGCCAAGTACAATATTGACTATTTGACCACATATTCTATTTTAAGGTTGTCTTTCAAATGTTTGCAGTAAATTATTTAGCAATTTATTTTAAATTTTTTATCATGGATACCATACAGAGCCTCCTGCCCTCACATCCCCAATTCCCAAATTGAGGCAACAGGTCAAGTCAAAATTGTACCACTGCTACATGTATAATCATGCAAAAAGTATAGGTGTATAAATATACATGCAGAGCGACATCACCTACCCAGAGATATAACTTGTCTGAAAGTCTTCATCAGTAGGAAATACAAGCACAAACTTGTTATCTGGCTTCATTCTTGTATCTTCCATATTTCCAAACAGCACACCTTATAACTTAGTTTAAATTTAGCATTCATCATAAACAAAGACAGCAAAATTTTCATATTTAATTATACTTAACGGTTAAAATAAATAGTGATCACTGTCACTTAATTTCCAATATATTCCAATGGCTGCAAGTCAATACTGTACAAATTTCAATAAAATAATGGAATGGTTGCCTTTCTAATTTATTAACCACAATTAAAGACACTGCATTCCAAGTTTAGAGAAGGTATGTTTAAAGCAATTGGCATCAGAATTCATACTTAAGCACTACATGATATTAGGCTAACTGATGGTACCAATTTGTGATATCCTTTTAAAATATGATTTGTTATGCAGAACTATGAGTAAGTAAGGGTTTACAGCAACCTTTTCTGTCATTTAAAAAATTATCGCTTGAACAAAGAGACAAAAAAGGGAGACTGTTGAAGAAGGGCTAGGAAAATTCAAACCAACAGGAATACTTGTCTATTGGATAATGTCAATATTTACAGGGTAGAATAAACACACAGAACTTGTTCTCAGTTTACTATTCTTCTGGCTGATTAGCTAAGTTCTAATTTTAAAAAAATCAAGTCACAAAGTTACACACAACAAAGTTCCCAATTTAGGATTTAATCAAGAAGATAAGCACATTCCATGCTTGTAACACTTTAGATGCCTTATCACATTCTCCCATTTGCCAACTCCATTATCTGTTTCAATTTTAAAGTATATTTAAATTTAAAGTATACTTAAATAAAATAATGAACTAACTGGTTTCTCTGTAATCATTAAGCCTCTCTCTAAAGATAAATGTAATACTGTCAGTAAGTGACTACTTAAATTATGGCTAATTCAGGTGCTATTTCTCCACCTGATTAAAATCTTGAAATTGTTGCCATTTGCTTCAAGGCAAGACAATCCTCCAGTTTTTCTGTTTTGTTTTGTTGTGATTTTAGTTAAGAACATCAATTCATCCACTGTCCACTAGAAACAGGGGTGTGTCTTCTCATTAATCACCTCTACAGATAAATTCTAACTTTTCAAACAATAAGATACTTCTAAAAGTTTGTGGAAAAGTCAATTCAAAGATAATTATTTTGAAAGCCAGGCTTAAGTCCTCGCCTTGCATATCAGCATGGTTCCTATGCCGGCTGCTCTACTTCCTTCCAGCTCCCTGCTTGTGGCCTGGAAAAGCAGTAGAGAACAGCCCAAAGCCTTGAGACCCTGCACCGGCTTGGGAAACCTGGAAGAAGCTTCTGACTCCTAGCTTTGGATGGGCTCAGCTCTGGCCGTTGAGGACACTTAAGGAATTAATCAGCAGATAGAAGATCTCAGTATCTCTTTCCTTCTGTATATCTGGATAGATGGATGGATGGATGGATAGATAGATAGATAGATAGATAGATAGATAGATAGATAGATAGATAGATAGATAGATGAACTATTTTGGTGCATAAATTTGAGCTCCATGCATATTTTTCATAGCATATATCCTCCACAAATGTTTGAAAAGACCCCACATTATCTGTGTCATCACACACTTCAAACACAGGATATTCATTTTTATTATCTTAAACTTTCAGCAATATTACCATTAAGCTTTTAAGTGCATGAGTGTTTCCTTCCGAAATATGCTCCAAGACTCAGAAAAAATCTAAATCATAAAACAAAACCTAATTTTTCCTTTGCTGTTTCTCCATGATTAATTCCTCTTTCCAAATTTGAAAACCAGAAGCACAGAATACTAAAACTACATAAAATTTACCATTTGTATTTCACAGATGAGAAAGACGAGTCCTAATTACGTGGAATGAGAATAACTTTGACAAATGGGACTGGGAACAACACAGGAAATTGGCAGCAGGCACACAAGTTATAAAGCCCTTCTCACTCCCTCTTCACTACTCAGGTCAAATTGATTTCACTACTGAGTCTCTTTACAGGGCTATGGTGAGGGTTGAAGAAGAGCACAAAGACTACAGCAGTTATGTGCTGGTCCTCTGCCCCATCTTCCCATGCTAATTAGTACTTGCCTGCTTCCTTCCTTGTTTGCTTGCCTTGGCATGCACACTTTGTTGGACACAGCCTGCATTCAAGAAGCTCTGAGAAAACATCACTGCCAGGACTGGTGTCTTATATTGGTCATAGATGAACCCAACCTAAGTAAATGCTTTATGGAAATTAACAGTTAAATGAGATCATTCAAATGTGCTTCTACACTTTTAAGTGAAATGTTAGCTTGCATGTATTCATATAAAAGTGCTTCAAAGCCAAACAGAAATCATTTTGGATGAGCCCTTATTTCATACTAGCAGAAAGAGCACTTCCACTGACACAAACTTGCCACTCTGATTACAAAATCAGGAACACCTATCAACACCACTTCCTTTGGGAAGTGCTGGGCCCAAAGAAAGGTGGACAATGGCCAATTAAGGATTGACCCTTTGATCTCATTTCTAAGGCCACTGTAATGCACAGAGGAAAATGCCTTCTTTCCTATTTGCCACATCTGGAGGGGAAACACTTTACATTGTTGTTGCTAATGGATCTGTGGGTCCAGTACCATTTCTATCCAACTGAGAAAGGGGTCATACTCACGCTCAATTTAG